CAGCAAAAGTAAACAGTGTGTCCTTTTAGGGTATAGTCTTCAACACAAGGGGTATCGTTGTCTTCATCAAGTTACCCAAAGACCATACATATCAAGGCATGTGCTATTTGATAAAACTAATTTTCCATTCATTCTATATCAACTGTTACACCAAGTTCTACTAATGGTTCTTCAACAGTGAATCCCAATGTCAATTTACACTTTACTATACCCATTTCTCCTCAAGCACCTATTGCTCATCCTACCACTAGCAATGTACTTGCTACACAACATCTTTCTCCTACATCGTCAGGTTCACAATCTGTCACTCCAAGGCTGGAATCTTTAAACCAAAAGCCTACTCATCTACCAAGCATCATTTACCTGCATCTGTTGATTTTATCCTTATTAATTATCTTCAGGCTTCCAAACATGCTCATTGGAGATCTGTTATGAAGGATGAGTACAATGCCCTGCAGTTAATAGGTACTTGGTCTTTAGTCCCTTTTAGACCTCATCAAAACATAGTTGGATGTAAATGGGTTTTCGAGTGAAGAAGAATCCAGATGGGACTATTGATAGATATAAAGCCCGGCTTGTGCCCAAAGGCTTTCATCAGCAAGCTAGTTTGGATTACAAAGAAAAGTTTAGTCCTGTAGCAAAGCCGGTAACAATTCGAATTCTTCTTTCTTTAGCAATTTGGTACAATTAGTTTCTCAACCAATTGGACATCAGTAATGCATTTATGCATGGGGATCTTCAAGAAGATGTCTATATACACCAACCACCTAGTTTCAGTGATCCTAACTACCCCAATCATGTCTGCAAACTTTGAAAATCCTTGTATGGCTTGAAACAAGCCCCTTGGGCTTGGTTTGATAAATTCTTAAGTCTATGGGATTTCATCAATTACAATCTGATGCTTCTCTATTTGTAATTAAAGCACCTATTCTTGTTATTGTCTTTGTGTATGTCGATGACATACTTGTCACAGGCCCTAATTCTGCAGCTTGTCAACAATTTATTCCGAAATTGGGTCTATCTTTCTTGTTAAGGATTCGGGACCCTTGCATTATTTCTTGGGTCTTGAGGTTCAAAGATCTTCTGCAGGTCTCTTCTTACATCAAAGAAAGTACCTTCTAAACTTGCTTCAAAAGACACATATGGAAGGTGCTAAACCATGTCTCACTCTTATTGGCTCTCTCAAACTTGATCACATAGGCCCTTTGTTACATGATCCTAAAGAGTAGAGGTATATTGTTGGTGCACTACAATACTTGACTTGGACAGGACCTGATTTATCTTTTGTTGTAAATCAATTCTGTCAATTTATGCATGCTCCATGAGAACCATATTTCCAAGCAGCCAAAAAAATTCTCTGGTTTCTTAAAGGCACAGTGAGTCATGGTTTGTGGTTCAAGAAAGGTGTTATCCATCTCAGTGCCTACTTTGACGCTGATTGGGCTTGATGTATATTTGATAGAAGATCTACTAGTGGGTATTGCATATTTCTAGGGTCAAATCTCATTAGCTAGAGTGCTAAGAAGCAACCAACGGTTGCTCGGTCCTCCACCGAAGCAAAATACAGATCCTTAGCTCACACAACAGTTGAATTAACATGGATCTGTAAAGTGTTCAAGGATATTGGTCTCCATCTTCCTCATATTCCTCATCTCTGGTGTGACAATATTTCTACAATTTCACTTGCTTCTAATCCAATTTTTCATGCTTAAACCAAGCATGTTGAACTTGATTACTATTATATCCGAGAGTTGGTGTTAGCTAATCTTTTCAAGGTCCAATATGTGTACACTCAGGACCAACTAGCTGATATTCATACTAAATCTTTGTCTAAATCTAGGTTATTATACTTGCAATCCAAGCTTTCTCTTGGAACTATGGATGCATCCAAGTTCAGCTTAAGGGGGTGTAAAGAGTCAAGTAAAGTTAGTTAGATGTTTGTTATAATTCTTGTGTAAATTGATAGAGTAGTCAAGGGTATAAATGTAAGTGGCGCATTGCCTATATATACTGCAGCACCAGTGTAATCTTATAATGATTTCAATACAATTGAAGCATATTTAGAAACTGTGTGTACTTAGAATTCTACAATTTAGGGTTGCTTTGTGTGTGTGTGTGTGTGTGTGTGTGTGTGTGTGTGTGTGTGTGTGTGTGTGTTTCAGATAGGAGAGAGAGATGTCGGGGAGTGAAAGGGTCCAGGGGTGAGGGTTAAAGAGAATGAGAGAAGAGAGAGAGAGAGAGAGGAAGTTATAATAATAAAAATATATGAAAATATCCCAAAAAGGGAAAGGGGGAATCCGGGTAGGGTAAGGGGATAAGGGGACAAAATTTCAATGTGGGTCCCTTTTGGTTCGTAGATTAAGAACGTGAAAGACGAAACACAAAATATTTGAAAACATTCGACGTTCAGACGTAGAATCTTCGGTATAAATCTAATTTCTAATCTGTTCAAGCCTACGTGCTCGTGGCAATAAGTACGTTAAGAATAAATTAGTAACATTAAAACTACGTGTTTCGACGAGGCAGTCAAACAAAGTCAACTCAAGGGTAAAAAGGTAATTTCATAATTTCGGCAATATGAAAATACACTAAATTTGGGACAGGGTTTCACATGGCTAATATGTCAGCAATGACATTCCTTTCTCGAAATATATGAGAGCAATGAGAAACCATGTATTGCAACTAGAAGCAAAGTAAGATATCACACTAGAACAATCACTTTCAAGTCATAAATTTTGTTAACCCCGCACAAGAGCCAACTCCACATCAAGGGTGACAGCATGAAGCTTCGCATAGAAAGAAGTATAATGCCCCAAACTCAGGGAGAAAGCACCAAGAAAATAACTCGCAGGATCTCAAAAAGCCCCACCACTAGCCGCAAGACCTGGTTACCTTTAGCAAGGCCATTTGTATTCATTTTGGCTCACAAAAATAAAGAAAGATGCCAAAAAATAAGAACCCTAAAAAAAGCTTTACAATACTCACCCGAGATTCCAAAAGGTTATCATCATTCTACTCTTCACCAATAAAAGCAGAGAGACGCTTTACGACTTTTAGTGTACCAAAAATCACACACTTTTTAGTCATACTTTGTGATTAGATTAACATCATCAGCACCACAACAGAATCCCGGTCCAATAAATTTAATTACAATAAAATTAGTTGATGATATTTTCGAGACTTATTCTAAAGCCGTGCACGTGCCACCTATTTGCATTGGTTGACGCATTTGTCTTCCATGAACAAAAAGTTGAACTCTACAACAAATAACATGGGTGTTTTGTATTGTATCGAGTCCCCAACATGGTAGCGATCCAACTAAAGTATAACTTACATGTCATAGTTACATCTTCATGCCGTGGTGAAGCTATAAAGGATCAAGAGGGGCGACGACCCTCTCGCCAGAAATTTAACCCATAAAAAATAATAACAAAAGAACGACCACTTGTCCGAGTGAGTTTTCAGTGTAAAAGATACATGGGGTGATATATCACGTGTCACTATACAAATGGTGGGATATGTATGCTAAAAAGTTAATGACTTAAAAAATAAAATTTCTCATCACTTACATAAAAACAAGTAGTGTACCACCCATCTTTTAATTACAATAAAAATTTTCTCCACTCGCCGCCCATTAACTCTCACACATTTGATACTGTATCCAATCCCCACTCCAGTGCCCTATCTTCTGCTTTCTTTCTGTCCTATTCTCTTATTGATTGAAGTGCAACAACTCTCAGCATCCATTTTCCTTTTTTGTCGCCATTGCCAACCCCCTCAAATGTAATCCTAATTTTTTGAAATTAAATTATTAGTTCCAAGAATTTAATATAAAATTTTGCTCAATTAAAATAGAATTATAGCGTAATATGAATATTAATTATTGACATGAACCATGTGATTATTGATTAATTAAATTATTGATTATTGAATAATCTATACCTATATAATTCTTGATCCTGGTCAATTGAATTGAAATTTTGTTTATTGAATAATTTATATAATTATTGGTACTGATTAATTGAGTTGTTAGTTTAATTAGTTATTAGTCATATAGTATACTCTACTCTAGGATTAAGAGTCTAAGACTTAATGGAATGATACTATAAAAACCATTGCTTAAATCTCCCTTCAAATATTATGGGTAGTCTTCCTTCGAATATTCTAGGTAGTCCTCCGAGTATTGATACATTACAGACATTCCTAATATTGTCTAATATCTATACAAATTTGGTTGTCTACATTTTTTTTAACCTTGCACTCTTTTAAATTCGTCTGTCCCTCAAACAATTCCTAACTTCGATACTGTCGTCATGTGATACTTTTTGCTAATGAAACAAAGGTAATGAGAAGCTTAAAAAATGAAGCCCATTTCTTTGAAATCCCACTATAGTAATGCCAATAAAAATAGAAAATGGGAGATAGAAAGTAATAAGAAAATGACTTGTAAATGTAAAGCTATAAGGTATCATACCTGGAGATTATGAAATAGCAAAAAAGTAAAAGTGACCGACATACAAGGGAAAAACTTTTGTTTAACATTTCCGGAAGGATCACCTAAAAATTTTTGAATGAACATCAAGGTAGAGTCTTATTCAGCTCTATCCATGCCACTATTGGCTTCAATGGTTTCTCAACTTCTCGATAATTAAGTGGAGGTTCAAAACTCATACCCACATAAAAGTAGTTTCGGCAATCCACTAAAAGGAGGGAACGAGTCGTGGTTGATGATACGAGAACTTAAAACCTCCATAAGTATCAAGGTTAGAACATTCAAGTTCTAAGACATAGTTTGGTTTAACAAATTAATTATGGAGAACTTCAGGGTTCAACATGAGTGGCGCGGTTTTAGGAAACACAAAAGGTTTCTATGGCAAAACTCAAAATTTCGGTTCGAAGTTTAGTATGAACTTCAGGTTCATTGTACATGTATTGTCATAACAATACAGTAGCACAAACATACACAAGCAATTCAATTGATAAACATGTACAATAAAATTTCCAGATATAATCCCCATTTAAGGTCATTAGTTTAATTTAGTATATAACATTTAAGGTCATTATTTCAAGCTTCAAGCCTAATAGGTTGGGCTGCTGGCCTATAAAAGACACATCCGATCAATAGCAATATGGCCAAGATGATCAGATTTTGACACATCCGATCAATCGTATACACCGACATACCTAAAGAGCTCCACTGATGTTAATATCATCATGCTTGCAAAGCAGGTCACCTTCATAGAAACAAACTACATCATATACCATAGTGAAGGTACCCGGCCGATCGGTTGTTGATCGAGAAGTGCTTATGGACCTGTTGGATCTCAGGAGAAAGAAGCTCCTGCAGAGCACCTTACATCTAATTAATCTACACCACTGCATTCTTGGTTCAACAATTTGCTCTTCCCAGAGAAGAGAAAAATTGAAGCTACTCCTGCATAACTAAAATTTGATTAAATACCTAAACTTATGCTTTTAATTCTCTTACTTTAGGTCTAACTGCAGGAGAAGTAAAACTAACAGGGATCAAAAGAATCAAAGCAACTACAGGAGAAGTATAACTTTTTACCCGACTTCAACTTGCCGCTACATGTAGCCCTGAAATTCTACAAGTACAAAAGCGAATTATCACACTGAATTACCAGTAGTCATGGACCTTGGGTTCATAAAATACATTTGCAATCGATTTAGATACTACAGAGAATGACCTTTAAAGACTACAGGAGACGACACTGAGTGCAGACTGCACTGTTAGTTATGATTGGCAGAAACCAAATGGCTAATCCATCGTATGCTTAGCAGACTATTTCAGCAAATAGGACGATTGAGAAGAATTCTGATAAATTGTAGCCTGATTAGCCCTCATCTAACTTCTAATTCACATGTTGGTAAACAAAAGATTGCTTGCTTACATTTTTCTGAAAAGTAGCACTTTCCAGCTAGAGCTACATGGTAGAAATACAATGATACAAACTCACTCCGAATTTTGGATGCCCAAACATCGAAAACTTCAACATGTATTTGAATGAACATTTAAACAAAACAACATAACCAAATGTTCAGTGTGATAAATAAAACTTGGTAAATTTCATTGATGACCCCTAAGAGTTGGTTTCCATTTTGATCCCTAATCTTTAATGTGCCATTTTCCACCCTACTACACAATCTGCAGTTACCACATAAATGTATGTGTCCTCTATAAATAAAAAAGAAAAAGGCTGGGCCTCGACTCTAGGGTTTCGGTAAGGTTCGAATAGGTGATAAACTAAAACTGTTAGCGGTAACAAACAGATAAAAGTCATATAAAGGAAGCTACTTCGGCTCTGTACAAAAGAATGATAAAACATCGGATAGAAATATGAATAACACAAAAATTTGAAACCTGTATCATGAGAATGAATGTGATAGGCAAATGTAAAAGAGGTCTTTAAACTCAAAAGGAACCAATAGTGGAAGTCCAATGTTTTCAACAAGTTCACACTCTATGTCATTTTACCATATTATTTCTTACACTTTTTATTCCTGATCACAAAAGAAATTATTAAACCAATAGGCAAAGATGTAAGAACACAATACACAAAATGCATAAAAGCCACCCGTATTTTCAACTTCGGAAGCTCAGATTATCATTGAACTATTCAAGGAGTAACTGCCTAAATCAGTTGGACATGGGAAGAGGTATATATGATTTTGTCACTATGTTCGCAGATTCACACAAATTGCAATACAAGAGGAATCAAATTGTTTCATGAAAGCCTCGGGCATTGGTGTCTTGCCAAAAAGAAGAAACAAATAAAAACCATTACAAAGTTTCAAGTTGAAAAGGCCATGTAAAACAAAGTGAGACAGAACTTTAGATGGTTCAAAACTTATTAACCATCTACAGTACCGACTTTTGTGAACATTCAACTTTGCGGAAATTACGGGCATTCTGTCGAAGATTTCTAGTGAAGTAGAAAGCACGTGAATGTTACTGTTCAATCATTCACTTTCCACACGCAACATCAGCTCACGGGTACCACAAATAACTTTGCCAAAAATCTCTGACAAAGTTTAGACACGTGAAGCTTGCAGCTCCCATTACATCGTTATGACCAAGAAGGGTAAAAGAATAGCAAAGAAACAGTACTAACAAAGTTTAGACACATAAATTTTGAAGGTCTAGCTACCATATTATTACCCACAAGGGTAAAGGAACATGACCATTGCTGGATAATTGGAAAGTCCCTGTGGGTCAACCTCTGTGCTCCGGGGCAAGGTAGACTAGCAAACAGGCCTAACCTTTACTCACATTCGAGAAAACACTCCCAACAAGATTGCTTGCTTCAAGATCGAAGAGGCACCGTCCTCCGAATCTCGAGAGCCAGACTCCCAACATGATTACTTTCTCAAAAAGCGACGAGACACCGCTCTCCGAATGTCGAGAGCCAGACTCCTAGCAGGATTGCTTTCTCAAAAATCGAAGAGGCATCGTTCTCCGAATCTCGAGAGACAGATCCCCGACAGGATTGCTTGTTCGAAAACCGAAGAGGCACCTCTTTCTCAACTTCGAGAGCCCCTTAGATAAAGCTTGTCTGTAATCCTCACACCGTTTTCTTAACCTCGAGAGCCATATCTCCTTGGATAAAGCTTGTCTGTAATCTTCACACGTAACATCAGCTTTCCAGATACCACAGACCACTTTTTCAAAGTGCTCTGACAGAGTTAAAACACGTGAAGCTGGCAGCTCCCACTACAGTGCTATGACCAAGCAGGGTAAAAGAAAAGTATTACTCCTTGTTAGGGAGACTCCTATATATGTCGACCTCCATCCTCAACGGACAGGCAGACCTGCAAAAATGCTCAACCCTTCCTCATATCTGAGAGGGCACTCCCAACGAAGCCTCTCGAAATACTCAGCTTTCTTTCCCCCCAAGAATACCTCTGCAAACAAGCTACACTAGAGCAAGAATATCTCATATCATCAGGGTTAAAAGCAAGAGTATCCCATATCATGCTTTTTCTCTGTCTTTTCCTTTGGCCTTGTTCTTACCTACAAGACAAGGAGAAAGAGAGCAATCGGTCAGCACTTGGAATCAAGCTTCTAGTCCGGAACTGATTGCCTGGAACCCCATTGCTCTCGAGTACTCATCTTCAACATCTTATGCTTCCCGAGAAGATACCACATCTGCCTGAGGAACAAATAGGGCAAGTGAGAAGGATACAAGGAAGCATGTGGAGACAAGCGCAACAGAACACGTGCCGATACATCCACTACTTTGTCAACAGCAAAAGTATCCCATATCAGCAGGGTCGAACGTACTCTAGATTTGATGGATTTGTTTTGACCCTCAAATTCTTCAGTCGGCCTTATACTCTGGCGGAAACAAGAAAACCCTCCAGCCCAGTTCAAGAATAAGCCTGTGGAAAGTTACTTCTTCAAAAGCAAAAGTATCTCATATCACCTTTTCTCCTTTTCTTCTCTTTATCCTTCATGCTACCTGCAAGATAAGGAGAAGGATAACAATCAGCCGGAACTCGAAATCAAACTTCTGATCTGGGACTGATTGCTTGGAGCTCTGATTGCTTACCTTGTCTGTCACCTCTTTCAGCAGATCCCCTAGCTCGGCGACTTGGGGGACTCCTACTACATGGTTTGTATCGCGCTTGACCAAGCCTGAAACTACAAGTAAGCGTCAAGTGAAATTGATACATTACCTTGTGCATCTTCACCAGTTAAAGATACCACCCCTGGAGGGAGGAAGAGTACTTCCAAAGAAGATGCCACATTCTACCTATGAGACAGATAAGGCAAGTGAAGACGATACCACACTTCGGTACTTAAAAGTTTCGTGATTTACGAGATCATTCTTCCACAATATTTCCTAATGTCATTTGTACTAAATCATTCACTTGTACTCACTAAAGGAGAGCTTGAACATATATACTGTGTAAACCCTTCACAATTAATGAGAACTCCTTTACTCCGTGGACGTAGCCAATCTGGGTGAACCACGTACATCTTGTGTTTGCTTCTTGTCTCTATCCATTTACATACTTATCCACACTAATGACCGGAGCAATCTAACGAAGATCACAAACTTAATATTTAAGATGATATTCTTTGGTGTATGCTTTTCGCAAACGATATAGTGTGGATAGATGAAACGCAGGAAGGGGTAAACGCGAAGCTTAACTTTTGGAGAGAAGTGTTGGAATCTAAAGGTCCTCGCCTAAGCCGATCAAAGACAAAATATATGGAATGCAAGTTCAGTGCAAACGGAGACCAAAATGAGTTAGGGGTGAGGATCGGAGATCAGGAAATACCAAAGAGCGACCGTTCTCACCCATAGAATACAAGCTGGATGGATGAAGTGAAAGAGTGCATCCGGCGTGTTGTGTGACCGTCGTAGGCCACTGAAGCTCAAGGGAAAATTTTATAGGACGGCAATAAGGCCGGCAATGCTGTATGGCATAGAATGTTGGGCGCTGAAGCATCAACACGTAGGTGTAGTGGAGATGAGGATGCTTCGTTGGATGTGTGGGCACACGAGAAAGGATAAGATTAGGAATGAGGATATCCGAGGTAAAGTAGGAGTAGCCGAAATTGAAGGAAAGAGGAGAGAAAATCGGTTACGGTGGTTTGGACATGTGCAAAGAAGGCCTACTGACACTCCGGTTCGAAGATGTGACCACGGGACAGAGGTTCAGGGCCGAAGGGGTAAAGGAAGACCTAGGAAAACTTTGGAAAAGACCCTAAGAAAAGACTTAGAGTACTTGGATCTAACGAAGGACATAACACAAAACCGAGCGCAATGGCATTCTAGGATTCATATAGCCGACCCCACTTAGTGGGAAAAGGCTTTGTTGTTGTTGTTGTTGTTCGCAGATGTGACAAATTGCAATACAAGAGGAATCAAATTGTTTCATGAAAGCCTCGGGCATTGGTGTCTTGCCAAAAAGAAGAAACAAATAAAAACCATTACAAAGTTTCAAGTTGAAAAGGCCATGTAAAACAAAGTGAGACAGAACTTTAGATGGTTCAAAACTTACTAACCATCTACAGTACCGACTTTTGTGAACATTGCTGGTAATGTCTTAATTTCAATAGATTGAGTCCTAATGCTCCCTTAGTCAGAATATCTCAGTTACAATATAAGATTCATTACAATGTTTTATTTCTGTTTAACAGAGTTTGTTTTATTACCAATGATCCCTTAGTCAGAAAGTCTCGATTAAGTTCACTATATTGTGTTCTGTATTATTATACAAGTTTGTTTTATTATTGAATTACAAAACCTACACGTTCATGTGATAGTAAAATTAATAAACCAGGAGATGGAAGATAGCATGTAAAGAGAAACTTGTATATCCATTCACACAATACACAAAGACATAAAGCTTTCAAATGACCGATAAACTAAGCTACAAGCTCATTATCAAAGAATGCTACAACAAGATACAATCAACAGAAACCTCTCAAAATAAACAACATAAAAGGAGACACAACCCTCTACTCTACAATACAACAGTGACTTCATCATGGGTCTATTAATTGCACATATATAACCCATTCTCATACCTGTGATTAACCTCATAAAAGTCTGTATTACCCTCGGAAGCTGGCCGCAAAACAAACTCCAGACAATGATTTAGTTCCTTGCCAAGAAAACTTCACATAAGCAACAACTTCAATCTCCTCACTGCCATCTCCTTCATTAGAATCCACAGGCATCCTTGCCCTCAACCGACCAGGAGAGATCCATTCAACGGAATCTCGGGGATATGCCATTTCAGTTCTTTATCAGACCTACTTAATATAGCTTTTGGTGATACCTTCAACAATGTAGGATCAAGTGGGAGTTTTAAAACAAATGTCACATCAGTCAAAGGCGCTGGCAACTCAGGGTTTGACACATACTGTATCATCACAGAAAGTAAGCTTCCTGTATGGCGTTGCACAAGACGAACCCTCAAGGGCAATGGTGTCAACCTGGGCAGCAGACTATACTTCAAAATGGGTAAAGGCTCATCGGAGGCTGCGGTCCTCACATGAAACAATCCGTTCCCCAGACTACTAACGCGGAGAATTCTGCATAATAAACCTCTTAACCGGGCTGGTTCCCTCAACCCGGAAAGAAAATTCGGTCTCTTTATCACCACTAGTTTTGGTAGGCAAAGTTCTCAAATAAACAACACCCATTAATCCCACTCTAGCAAGCAATGACTCTCTAAACTCAGCACTGATCTCTTCCACAACGTGCATCTCAGGACCCTTCATTTCACTTTTTACAAGGGTATCAAGGGGAGTACCTGCTGCTGCACCACCGGCAGTGGCATCAGCAGTTTTTGGAGCATCAGGCCCGGTCTGCAACAATTCAAGCCCGCCCAGCCCTTCTTTCTTCGCAACCTTCTTCGATCCAACAAACTCAGAAGCATCCAACCCACCTCCCCAAGCATCACTAAACCCTTCAAAAGTCTCACCCAAAGAAGCTTGGTCATTCCCAAACTCAATCCCACCATACTCCCCTTCAAACCCTTCCACCGCAATATGGGTACTCTGGGTCGCCTCTGCCGGAGGCAATGTAGTCACTTCAAGTGTCGCCAGCGCTGTTGTTAGGTCCGTGGCGGAAGGATCCTTGTTCTTCTTGAACCCACTCACCAGCTCTTCAGGCTGATTAATCTTCTCGCTTGCCGCAAATGGGTCCTTCTCAGCTTGGCTCTCGTCCTCATTCTCTAAATTCTGATCCTTCTCCTCACTCTGCACCACCGGCGCCAAGCTAGCCGCCACCTCATCTCCAGCAGCGATCGTCTCCGGCGGCAATTCAAACCCTAAATTGTTGAACGCCACAATGCCCGCCTCGTGTTCGACGGAAAGCGCCTCAACGGCTCTCCAATTCTCCGCCCCACGGATCTTGTTCTCAGTGTCCAACGCCGAGTGCACCATCTTGGCAATGCCGTCGCCGTGCATCGACGAAAGCATCGCCGCTAATCGAATATTGCTGA